TCATCCAGTGGTACATCAAGCCAGTTAAATGGTGGAACCTGTACAGTTAGCCGTGTTTCCAGGAAGGATGCTGGTCTCAGTCAGAGATCCTATATTTCTGAAGACCCCAAAATCGATCTTTTAGAGGAGAGTCAAGATCCTTTTTGCATTTAGCTATGAGGATTCCAGGAAAGGTTCTGGTGTCAGTCAAAGATCCTATATTTCGGAAGACTCCAAAATTGATGTTTCACAGGAGAGTCAAGATCCTTTTGCATTTGTTGAAGATGATTTTGAACCTTCTAAGTGGGATGTATTATCTGGCAACAAAAATATATCACTATCGCAACAGAATGAGGCAGTATACAGAGAACTTGATGGCACTTTAGCTTATTATGAGCCAAGAAGCATCAAGTAATGGAGAAAACCATCAGGCGCATGAGACATCCTATTCAGGTGCTGTTGGTAGAGAAGGTTCCAGTCTTCTAGCAGACTGCCTTGTTGCTGCTGTCAAGGTAATTCCACAGTCCGATATTTTAAACCTTTTTAGGATTGAGGTTCTGGCAGCTTATGGGCATTGGTTTTTATGCCTGATTTGAGAGATTATTCTCATTCTTCTATAATGCTGGATTTGTAAGCAGCTGTGTGAAGTGAGACTAGATTTTTCGAACTTTGAGTCTTTTCTAATTTAGTGGTCTTTTATTGTATTTCCTCTTTTCTCTTCAGATTATGGATTCCTTATCCACTCTTTGTAATTAGTTTTTCTACATAAATAAACAAATTGCTAGATGCTTTGTGATGGACGATATGTAGGTGTAGGGTCCCTTCTTCTGAACCTTGATATATCTTTGGTTATTATTTACTGTTTTCGTGATCTAACATCAGCTCTCATCTATGACTTATTCAGTTATTCTGAGTGTAACTTATATGTTTATTAATACTCATCAGCTGTTTGAATGTCTTGTTTACTCGCAATAGTAGAAGGATGCTGTTTCCATTAATTGCAACCCCATCTAGATTCTCCCTTATGGGGTCTTGGGTCCTCAGAACGCTATACATCATACATGCAATGTGTTAGAACACAGGTGAAGCCATTGAACTGGATAAACTCATAAATGTCTTTCTTGGCAGTTTATCTGATGAACTTGGCAAATGACAATCCTGTTGGCTGTCAGCAAATTGCTGCCAATGGAGGACTGGAGAGCTTGTCTTCTTTGATTGCCAACCACTTCCCTTTGTTTTGCTCATTCTCATCTCCCTTCAGTGAGAGAAGTCAGAATACTTCAAGCATTGAACTTGACCATCAAAATCATAGACATCTTACTGATCAAGAGCTAGATTTTCTTGTTGCTATTTTGGGCCTGCGTGTGAACTTGGTTGAGAAAGATGGCCAAAACAGGTTACTTGGAATTCTCCATTTTTGTCCAGATGTTTATGCATTTCATTCTTCAAGCTTTTGTTATTGGAACAATGCATTGTTACCCTTGCACTCTATTCCCCCTTAACAACCAACCTTCTTTTACATTTTGGAGAGTTAACATTTTAATTGTATTCCATGTGTGTTCTTATTCAACCTCAATTTGTAAATCAACTGAGAGAACCCATTACCATGGTTGGTCTCGGTCCAATGAAGTGGAGTCCTTGAGAGGGTGGAAAATACATTGAGGGAAGAAAACACCAAACTGTATTGTTTTTTGTCATCTTCCACATTTCCCCTGTATTTCCAAGCCAGTGCTAATTTCATCATTGGGCCACTTGTATCTCAAAAAAATCAGACAACGAAAGATGCTATATAATTATAGACACCGTTGTACCTGTGCTGCAGATTAAACAGTCTTAGTTTCTTGTGCTTTTTTTATAGTGGCGCATTTTATCAGTCACACACATCTAATTTATAATGGTATTCCATACAGGTCACGACTTACAGCAGCTAGTGTTCACGTTCCCAGTTCAGAAGGGTTTGAAGAGGAGAGTCACAAGGATCTAATTCTGCTTATCTGCCCTATTTTTCTTGCCAACCAAGGTGCAGGCGAGGGTGGTGCAGAAGAAATGATTTTGCCAGTGGGTAACACGTTCTGCTCTTCAAGGTTTTTTTCTCTTCTGAATCTCCACTCCTAAATGCCATATATAATCATGATTGTGCACAATCCTTCTAGTACATGTATAGAGCACGCATACAACAGCCAACTAAAAACAATTAATACACACGAGGTACCAAGAAAGACTCTTCTTTAAAAATGAGTCATGTTGTGGTAAAGATGAAGGACGCGCGATTCCCAAGCATGAAGAATGTCTAACTTTTTCTTCTTTTCCCTGGGGCCCTCCTATTCCTCCTGGTATGCTTTTGATTTTGAAGAGAAACAAAAATAAATAAATAAATAAATAAATAAATTTGATACCCTTCTCCATTCCCCAAACCCTTGCCTCCCTCTTCTCCATTTACATATGTTTGATCATAAATTCTTTTTTTCCTCTTCTTATGACATATTCAATCTCTCTTATTTTGTTTACTAGTTATTTTTATTGTGGTATTTAATAAGGGATCTACAAATTGAACACAGGTGAATGTAAGTTTTGTTTGAAGGTGGATGAACATTATTGGTCAAATTGCCCATACATGGTCAGTGTCCCAAAGAATGCAAAAGTTGGTAGTAATTAATTGCGATGTAATATGTAAGGTTTGAGGACTCTTCTTTAAAAAAGAGTCATGTTGTGGTAAAGATAAAGTGCGCGCGATTCCCAAGGTTGGTAGTTGCGCAAAACATGTTTCTTTGGATGATGGAGTTCGGGTCTGAGAGCCATTATCGCAAGTGAATTGCTATTTGCAACACATGGTCTATTCTATTTATGCATCTTAAAGATGTCTTTCCTTTATATTTATTTTTTTAATAGAAAGCAAGAACAATGTTGTTGATAGTGACCTTTGGTTTTGAAGGCCGAACGAACTTCAATATTTGTCAAATACTTACAATAAGGCAGTGCCATTATAAGCATTATTCCATATTTTCGGTTTGTAATTGATCTCTGTTTGAGTTTAAGACCCTCAACATTTGGCTCATGAGCTGCTAGTCCTCTACTGATAGTAGAGGAGGTTCTGGAGATGGCAATAAAAAATTTAGCGTCCACACACATTGATCATAAACGATTAAAACTTGGAAGGAACTGTGGAATAATGTAATAGAAATGCTGACATTTAAAAAAGAGTAAAAGAAACTTTGCAAAAAATGCTAATCGCATAAAGTTATCATATTTTCATAAAGCTATTGTTAGGATTGTCTTTCATTACGAAAGAATTCCCCAGAATTCATGACCTACGGAAGGAAAAATTATGCCAAATAGAAAACAAAAAGAGGAAGTGGAATATGGAATATGGAATGCCAAACTAAAGGTTCCTTCAGCATCTTTCGTTGTCTGAAATTTTTTTATGTAGATAAAGACCTAGGAAACAATGCCATTAATTATTAGAAACCAAAAAGAGTAAGAATCATATAAATCCAGAGATTATAAGTTAACTGATAGAATATTGCCATTCACAAGCTGAACACATTATATAAAAAATTCAGTCTGCAGGTATTCAGTTGTGTATTCTAATTCTGTGAGTTGATTTCATGGTCTCTGGAAGCTTCCTCTTATTCACGAAAACCACACTCTAAAGTTCGTATGTGACGCAAACCACGAGCCTTCCCTTCTATGTAAAGCTGCGGTAATGTTGGCCAGTTGGAATACTTTTGTATCCCCTCCATGACTTCATTGTCTGTAAGAACATCGAAACTTGCAAATTTGATCTTCTTTTCCTTCAACATGTCAATGGCCAATTTGCTCAATTTACATTTGGGCTCCTCAGGGGTTCCTTTCATGAAAAGCATGATTGGATTAGAGTCAATCAGTTGCTGCAACCGCCTTTCCAAGGCATCATCAAGGCCATTTTGCACTTGAATTCTTTTTGACCAAAATTTTGCACTTGAACTTGCATCTGCTGGTGAGAAGATCCAGTAGATGCTGAGATTCCACTCTTTCCACTTCCAGCTTCAGTTACCTTTGCCCCAGCATAATCAGTAGTATCCATTCCATGTTCTTTGGAAACTTCCTCTAATTCAATTACCTTCGCCCCAGTAGAATCAGCAGTATCAATTCCATGGTCTCTGGGTACTTCCTCTAATTCACCACTTCGACGCATTAAAATTTCTGTCTCAGACCAACCACGGGGCTTCCCTTTGTAGTAAATCTGCGGTATTATTGGCCAGTTAGAATACCTCTTTATCCCCTCCATGACTTCATTGTCCGTAAGAACATCGAAACTTCCAAATTTGACCTTCGTTTGCTTCAAAATGTCAATGGCCAATCGGCTAACGTTACATTTGGGCTCCTCAGGGCTTCCTTTCATGAAAAGCATGAGTGGATTAGAGTCAATCAGCTGTTGCAACCGCCTTTTCAAGGCATCATCAAGGCCATTTTGTGCTTGAATTTGCTCTTGCTTCTGGGAAGATCCATTTTCTTTTGCTAACTCGTGGACTGTCTCAAGACTGGCAGGAGCAGGAGCATCAGGTTCTCCAGGCTTAACTGACCCAGCAACCCTAGCAACTTTATGGGCCAAAATAGATGGATCTGCACCTTCTAATGTATCAGCGACCTTTCCATCCTGACCAAAAAAAGCACAAACAAAAAATGACCAAGAGAAGAACAGATACAGAACAATCGAAAGAACCCAAGCCAACAACGATATTAGTTTCAAAAGTTTATCTAACAGCAAAATTCTTTTTCCGATCATAACTCAATTCATACTTGCACGCGTTTCCACTTATTCATATTGCATGTGACACCTAAGTTCTACATCTTCAAAACAGTTGATCAATGATCATAAATCATGTGACAAAAAATTCAACAGAACCTTATTATCTAAATGCAGAACTTTGTTATATTGCATGCCGGCCTCACATCCAACGACCTAACTATGCTTACTCAAAATCAGCCAGCATCAAATCAAAAAGGAAACATGAATAGACTAGTATACCAAATAAGCATACCTTCACAAAGGCAAAGTAGGGCACATCACGAACCGAATAAGCCCCAAATATCTCAGGCTGTTCTTCTGCTTCAACCTACAACATTTTATCATCAATTGGAGATTTTTTTAAAAACACCAGCACACACACATACAAAAGACCAGGAAAAAAAAACCCCAGATAGAGATGAGAAGAATACGTACCCTTAAGAAATGGGCATGAGGGAAATCAGTAGAGAGGTGGGCAAAGACCTCGTCCATGTGCTTCGAAGCCTCACAACTCGAGGCCCAGAACTGCAGAACAACGGGTGCACCACTGTGAACCACGCTATCAAGCTCCTTCTTGGATTGCACATCCTTCGCTGAGCCACCCATCGATAACGGAGTCTTTTATAACTTCTAAGCCCTAAATGCACAAAATTTAGAGAGAGAGAGAGAGAGAGAGAGAGAGAGAGTTTTTTTTAGGTCAAACAAAGAGAGAGTGAAAGAGAAAGAAAACGCAAAGAGCATTATATATAAAGGCCAACGCAGAGTTTAGGGAAACTTTCAGATACTAGGAAATACCCTTTCAGATACGTCGGTTAATAAGGAATCAAATAATAAAAGTTAAATTTAAATATTAAAAAAAAGAAAAAAGAGAGAAAGTTAAAATAACGTATTGGGTAACTAATTGTGCTACCTGATTTGATTTTTATAGAACTTTCATAACTTCCTTATTTTTATATTTGAAAAACATATTCCTTCCAATCAAGACGTTCCATATCAATTTTTAAAAAATAATAAAAAGATAAATTGGCGTAAATTAGCATATATCTCCAACCAAAATAAAGAAGAAGCATGGCATCTCTCATTATTGATTTCCTTCTGTGATTCATTCCTTGCTTACGATATTAAAATATTAATTGGTGAATTGAAGTTGGGCATATGGGTATTTTAATTTTTTGGGCCTGATAGTTGTGTGAACTGGGATTAGGGCTCCTATAGCACTACTTTCTCTTGTGCAACCTTCTAATTGTGTATTCTTCTAACCGACAATTTGATTGTTGATCATTCATAAATTTATAATCTCAATTTTGTGAGCGACTTGATTTCATTACTTTCTTATATGAAATTTAAATAAAAAATAAAAAATATGTTTTAAAAGTTTAATGACATGTCGTGTGTTTAGTCGTTAGATTGGTTGAGCAGTTTAGATTTACTGAAATGCGGGTAAATGCATAGAAGCTAAATGTAGAGTTTCGGGATCCTTATGAACTGAATCCGAATCCTCTTCTAGGATCTACTCTGCTTGGCTTTTACTCTATGCAAGCCACATCATTTTAAACTCATCCAAAAGCTAAAAACGGGCCACACATTTTAAAATACAATGATCAAATAGTCACCAAACTTTCCAAAGTTTAGCAGGTGAGTTTACTTTAATTTTCTTCTGCTTCACTATTGTCATCTGTATTTGTTGCCAAGCTTGTCCGTTTTTATTTTGGGATTTTTTTTAATGAATGATTGAAAAACCAATATTAAAAACAAAACAAAAATAAAAACCTGCGTTTATGCCCAAATATGATGTTGTGGCTATAATTGAAGAGTTCAAAAATTGCAGTTTGCAATTTCCCTAATTAAAAGATAAGGAAGATAAAACGTATTTTTATTTATTAAAAAAATGGACAATAAGAATGAGTGAAGGGAGAAGAAGAGTTCCCACGTGTCATCTTCTTATTGGCCGGTGAAATATGTGTTCCCACACACATGATTGGAGATGAAAGCATCTTCTCTAGCATAGACAAGTCCATAAAATCCCAAGTTAAACTAGGAAATGGAGAATTGGTGGAGACAAAAGGAAAAGGTACGATCTCTATCCAAACTAATAAAGGAACTAAACATATTAAAGATCAAGGTCGGTCTTGAGATTTTCAGGTCCATGTGCGAAACTTAAAAAGGAGTCCTCACATAATGTGAAAAAAAAAAAATAAAAAAACTACTAAAAAAAAAAAAAAAAAAAAAAAAAAAAAAAAAAAAAAAATTAATGTCATAAAACAATTTTTTTATAACTAAATTTTTTCATCAATTTGCATTTAATAGCAATCACAAATCAAATTCATAATAATTTTTTTTAAAAGAAAACCAATTTTTTTTAATTTTAAATGAAAAAATTAAAAAAATTTGTAGGGACCATTTGTGATTGGTGTGTGAATCTCAGGGACGTTTTATGATATATATATATATATACAGTCCCCTTCTATTGAGGGATCCCTAAAATAATTGTATTTGAGGGACGCCCTTTAGGGTGCCCTACAATTTTTTTTTCCAATGATCCAAACCATCTATTTTTTAGGTCTTCATTCATAGATCATCCTGACAAAAAATTAGACAAATCGGAAACCGTTTCAACATCCAATTGGGTCCTACAAAATCAATGAACACGGTGCTTCAAGAAAGTACTAAAATTTTAATAACTCAATTAAATGGTCAAATGATATCGGATTCAAGTGATTTTTGTAGAGATAATCTTTGAATGTGTATCTACAAAATATACAGTTTGGATTAGTGAAATACAATCCAGAGTGGGCCCTACAAGGGGTGTCCCTCAAATAACTTATTTGAGTGATCCCTCAACGGAAGCTCTCTGTAGATATATATATATATATATATTCCATGTCAGCAAACTAACGGAGTTTTTTACGGAACCTAACTGCAGGGACCATTTGTGATTGTACATACACGAGAGAGAGAGAGAGAGAGAGAGGTCTTCTTCTTCTTCTTTGCCTTTGCAGCTAGGTATGGTTTGAGTTTTCAAATGAGGTTTTTCAAATAGCTTTTGAAATATGCTTTTATTTTTGAAATCTACTTTACCCATTGAGAAATTTTGAGAGTAAAACTTATACTCTGCATTCTCTAAGGTTTTTCATTGTGAGATTTTGAAAATGCTTTTTTAAAATCTGCTATGCTTTTTGCTTTTTTAAAATATGCTATGCTTTTTAAAATCTGCATCTAGGTTCAGTTATGACTAGTCATCTTCTTTTGTGTATATCTGGGTTCATTATGACTAGTCATCGTTCTTAGTCTAGATCATATTCTTGGTTGATTTCTTCAAGAGTATGGTTTCTTGAAGGAATTGACCATTTCATCTCAGAATCTATATTTCATTATGTTTGTTCGATCTGAAGCTGAGTTGTCGGTGCTATGGAGTGAAGGAGCTGATGGACTAGCTGCCACTTACTGTAGATCGAAATAATGACTGAAGCTCTAACTCATTAAGCACTAACTTGCGGAAAAATTAACTCTAGTACGCAAAGATGTTCTACCTTCTGCAAGCTCTAAATCACCAACTCTCAATGGGGCTCGAGTACTATTTTGGTGTGTATGTTTGCGAAGGCAGGGACCTCTGTATTAATACTGTTAGCTGGTGAAAATCTGATTGGATTCTCCCCTTAGAAACCCAATTAAAATATAACTTGTACACCTAGCATTTGTACACTTATGTCCATATTAATAGGATTAGGATTCCTAAACTCATAAGGATTTTTTATTCACATCTGTATGAGTTTACTGGACAAGTTTGTATTAATCTCTATGTCTGCAAACATGAGTTCAAGATTGATTCAATGACTGTGATGTCCTATACAAGTTTACACTTACATGACGGACTAGCTACTAGCTCAACTAAGTTGGAGAAGAAGATTGCACAGAGGAGGTATAGCTTGTTTCCTAAATAGATATAGGATTTCTTGAGCTTGCTTGTGTATTCTCTGTAAGAATCTTCTTTGCTTAGTGGATTGCCTGGTCAGATGATGACCCCCAGTTTTTCCCAGTAGTGGGTTTCTGGGTGAACAATTTTCTGGTTTTGTTGTTCACAATTTTCTGGGTTTGTGTTTTTGATAGTTGACTAGTCATTGCATGATGTTCATGTTATTCTGGGTTTGTGTTCTTGCGGTTGACTAGTCATCATTATCTATTGTTTGTTGTCTACTTGATTATGATGTTTTCACACACTTTCACCATAGTTGTTGCTAGCACATGGGATGCCTAGATTGACCGATCCTTCTGAGTGCCTAGGTTGTAGAAGGTAGAACATCTTCTGAGTGCCCATGATTGGGCTCGATCCGTGGATGACATGAAGAGCACATCAGGCTATGCATTCACAAATGGGTCTGGTATATTTTCATGGTCATCAAAAAAACAAGAGACCGTAACCCAATGATCAGCAAAAGCCAAGTACGTAGCAGTAGCTACTCCTTCCTCCCATCCTCCCTCTCATTTTACCTCTCAAACCCATCTTACTCTTATTCTCACTTCCATTCTCCCTCTTTTTCTTCTATACTCTAGCATAAAAATTGAAAACTAAAAACTAATAATGAAATGGTTATCAAACGGGCCTTAAATTTGTTTAATGCTAGAACATATTCAAATCAACCTTGACAGTTTCCACAATTATGCAAAACTCATGCAGATTTATAAATGTAGCAAATGGTTGAAATGGAATAGAAAGAGCACTTTACCAAGAACTTCTCGAATCAAATGCTCTGTCTTTCTAGCTTGAATCCATCTCCAAGCATAATGAAGAGAAATCTTCCATGTACTAGTGGAGACGACGATCATCCCTTGAAGAATTAGACTCAGCCGCCCAAATTTTGGACATCGGCAGCAACATCTTAGAGTCCAGCTTTAAGAGTTCGGTTGCTGATGGTGTTTTCTTCACGTAATGTTTCCCAATAATGCTTTAAACAAATCACTGCCCACTGAAACCGGACGATTTATTTGGGCTTTGAAAGCTTTGGAATTCCCATTTGGTTGATATTGATACATATGGCTTCTTATCGTGCAAGATTCTTCTTACCTCCCAGCGACCCCATTTAGCAGACCGTCGAAAAAAAAGCGCTTTGGATATTGAAAACTTGAAAGGTAAGCTCGTCTAGGTCGGTTGTTAACTTTTGACTTGACTTGAAATAAACGCAAATTATTACTTTCTACATTTGCAGAGAGGACGCAATCCATGTTGGACCAGGATTCCTATGAACATTATGGTTACGCAGCCCAGTAAAGCCTATATAACCCCGTCTCTTTTTCCTAAAAGTTTATCTTAAATCCCAACCTCTCGCTGGCTTTTCTCTTTCCCGCACACACAGCCATGCACCGCGTCTCATCGGATTCACAGTCGGACCAGAAATCGGGTGACCAGTTGGGGGTGCTTGGTGAGGACGGCGATGTGTTTCCACTTCACTCAGGGGTGCCCGATTTGGTCGGCCACAACTCGTATCCACTTTTGCAGATCTACTGGCCAAGGCCGATCAGTATGTTTTTCTTTCTTTCTTTTCCATTAATTCAAGGATTTGTGACGAATATTATATATCTGAACTTTAATTACATGTCTAAGATTTTGTGTATGATAAATTCTCTTTTCACATTGAAAATACTAACCCTATCTTCTCGTTCAGGTATGAAAGCACAAGAATCAAAGGATGCTCGTTCTAGTGCTCCTGGTATGCTTCTGATTATACGGAATTTTCTTAGGGTCTGTGTTCTGGAGAAAAAAGTGATGTTTATATTGTCCCAAGTTTTTGGATCAATTTGGTTTTGAAAGATAATTTCTCAGGCTAAGTCATTTTGGTTTGTGCATGATTCATAGCCAACACTGAATTTTGAAGATAACTTCTTTTGCCAATCATTTTTGTAGCCACATGTAATTTGAAGTAACTACTATTTGGTGATGGATGATAGATCTAATTGTATCTGCGACTTCTCGAATTATATCATTCATCACCGATTCATTTTTGCTTGTCTTATGGCATTATATTGATATATTATTAAATAATGCTACTCTATATTATGATTCAACTGATTTGTTGGGTTTTGACAACATCGCCCTTTTTTATTTTATATATATATATATATATATATATATATATATATATATAACAACGTAATTCCAAACAGGTCGGGAGGATGAACTTGCAAATATTGTTACTAGAAATTGGGACCCAGATATTCGTCCTGGTATGATTTTAATTTTACAGTACTGACTTTTTTAATTTTATTTTGTCATCATTTTCATTCATTCACACATTCTTTTCTCCAAAAACCAAAAATAAAATAAAAATTGTAATGTTTTTGACGTATTTAACAATGGATCTGTTAACTGCATACAGGTAAATGTATGTATTGTTTAATGTTGAATGATCACTATTCAACAAAATGTCCATACATGGATACTGTCCCTAAAAATGCAACCGTTGGCAATGGTTGTGAGGTAGTTTGTAAGGTTTGTGGTGCACTCTTTAGAGGATCATGTTGTGGCAGAGATGTAGGACGTGCAATTTCCAAGGTGTGTTGTATTTGTGGGAAGATTGGTGAACACTGGCCTCCAATGTGCCCAAGAACACTTCGCGAGGGGAAAAATATTTCTTTTGATGAGCTTGCTACTCCGGATCAGAGTACTACTGAAGATGAGGCCATGCCTTTGCTAATTGATCAACTTAAGCTATAATTGAGTTGGAACTATCATCCATAGTGAATTGCAATTTGCAACACATGGTCTATTTATTATGCATCTTAAAGATATGTTTTTTCTTTATATTTATTTGTTTAATAGAAAGCAAGCACAATGTCGTTGATATTGACGTTTGGGTTTAAAGGCCGAAAAAACTTTAATACTTGTCAAATACTTACAATGAGGCAGTGTCATCATACGCATTATTCCATATTTTCTGTTTGTAATTGATCAATGTTTGAGTTTAAGACCCTCTAGTTGCTTTGTGGAAAAACATTTGGCTCATGCGCTGCTAGTGCTGAAGAATAATCTAAGAATTGCTTGCATTTAAAAAAGGGGTAACAAAAATGCTAATCACACACATGGACTATGGACGAAAGTAAGACATCTTCATTAAGCTTTTCATATTTTGTCATATATAAAAATTTCTCTCCTCTTGCCTGCTCTAGTACGGTGAAAAACTAAAAATGATACAAAAGAATAATACCATAAAGGAGGGATCAAAAAGAAAAAAAATACAAGCAAACAAGCATGCAGTCAGTTTGATACAGTGTGCAGCTGATCGCAACTTTATGAGCGTCGTGGCGTTGGGCAAACAACTTATCTGAAAGGAAAGCCAAATCTGTACAGGATTTCCATCTCTGAAAGGAAGCTCCTCTCATCGCATCCTACACGACTCAATGACTTTGGTCTCAGCTTTATGAGTCTCTGGACATATCATGTATAACATCAAATGGAATGCCTGAAGAAGAAATAAAAGTTGCAATCACCATTATTATACTTTTCCACGGCACAAAGAAATAATGGAGCTCACAAATTCTACTAATTTGATCTTAACTTCATCAATTTGTTCTTCGGTGTATGAGTTAGCTCTGCCTTCTTGCACATTTTCCAAACTGTTCTATTCCCCTCTCGTATAGCAATATCAGCAACAACAGGTTATGTACAGATCTGAAATCATGGCTGCACATGATTCTCAATTAACAAAGAGGAAAACCATTTTCTTTTATAACTTTTGTTTTGAAATATATAACAATGCAAACCATTGATGACAACAGTTACAAATTGGACTAACACACTCACAATGAAGCAACAGTAACCTGTTCGGATCTTTCATCAATAACCTTCTTGTCACCAGCACAGTCAAGAATTACAGTGCCCTTTTGAAATTGTGACCTGTAGCATTCATTACCCCATTCGTTAGGAGAGTGGAGGAAAAACAAGATATCGAAAAATAGCATTAAATTGAATGGGAAACTCCATTAAAACTTCTCCTCATCAAAGAACTACATGTCATGGTTAGGCTGACAATGCAAACAAAAACTCAACTATACCAAAGCTCACCTTTTTGCAAGTGCCGAGCATATCCAATTCCACTTTGCCAAGATTCAGACCAAGCTCCTCAGTAACAAGCTTAAATACAAAAGAGATGTCATTTCCAGATCGAAAAAAATTCTAAAGAGATGCATTTGATTGGATCAGGTTATAATAATATGAACTTAATAATAAGAAAAATAAAATTACAGAACCCCCAGTGAGAACGGCAAGATCCTGGAGACTGGATTTCCTATTTTCACAAAAAACCCCAGGGGCTTTGATTGCACAGACCTGTAGCAAATCAAATTGGATTAGCTTCCCTACACAAAGAACCAAACGATTACATAGGAAAGGAAAAAGAACCTCAAACAGGAGCATAAAAACGATTGAGAGCAAACCTTGATTCCAGCATGAAGCTTATATAGAATAAGGGTTGCCAGTGCTTCACTCTCCACATCTTTGGCAATAATCAGCAAGCCTTTGCTTCTGAAAAGGAGGAGCAAAAGTTTGTCAACCAATTCATAAAAAAAAAAAAAAAAAAAAAAAAAAAAAAAAAAAAAAAAAGAACCTAACCAGAGAAATGCTAACCTGCAAAGCCAACTCCAATACTTTAACCACATCATTAACACTTGAGATTTTCTTCTCATGGATTATGATTAGAGGATTTTCCAATTCCTATCAGCACATACACAAGTTTGAAGATAATCAGCATCAAGCAAAAAGGGACTTGAGGTGCTGCTAACTTTAGCGAGCAGGCCTCTAACAGTTTCAAGACATAGTTATCGCTGAGTCAAACTAGAACTTACACATTTCTGATTTTTCTGGTTGGTGACGAAATAAGGGGATATGTAGCCCCTGTCTAGATTCATTCCCTCAACAACCTCCAACTCATTGTCCAATATTTTCCTGTCCTGCAAAAATTAACATAGTGTGAAGCTTACATGTATTGGGTATCATTTGGGAATAAAAAACTAAAATAAAATTATTTGGAGTAGTGCTACTGCAAAAATAAAATTATTTGGGTATCATTTGGAAATAAGGTGATGAAGATGAATCATCCCTTCTTTTTTTATTTTGGGTACCGTACAGTCATATTTGTGTCTTGTTAAAATTTATATTTCTTATAATCTGTTGTGCTATTCATATTTGACATCCGATCTTTGTGTCTAATAATGTGTGTTTTTTTATTTAATATCTGTTTTGTGCTGCTGGATGTGGATGGATATACAGCGATATGGAAAGGGAAAAGATTGTTGGACTTGGGTCCAAGAAGCCAGAGCAAAATACCAAATCAACTGTCCTAAAGCTAAAGGTATAGATATGCCTCAATTTTGTGGAGTTGTGAAGCTACCTGTGTCGAGCACATCATATTTCTGATAATTTGATTTATACTAATTTTTGATCTGCAGTCTGACTCCCAAACTCAGAGTTCATCCAAAACTGGTCCCTGGAGAAAGGTAAGCTTTTGAGTTTTGTCTCTTCTTAGCTATTGTCGCTAATTTGTATATACAATTTGCTACCCCCAAATCTTTTCAAATCTTTCCATTATTTTCTCTCCATTTTGCAGATGCTCTCCTCTAAGGACATTAATTTTGTGGGCTACGCATATAAAAACTTCGAAATCATTAACGATTATCAAGTTTCTGGGATGGGTATATATATCTCTTGCTCTCCCATAAACTTGCCTTAAAACTTTTATCTTTTGTTACATTTTGGTTTTAGTTCACAGTTTGTGTTATATTTGTGTGTAGATTATATAGATTTTGATGGTTCATGTAATGCATGGGTTAATCTAGAAAATGTTAATGGTTGTTCGAATGGCAGATGCCATACACAAATTTTTGTTTAGTTATTGATCAATGACAGTCAAGTGACCAAAATAACTGGGAAACAGAGGAAGCATGTACTAACTTGCTGGATTCGATTATATATAGTATCCTGTCTGGTTAAGGCCACCCATCGATCCTGTTGTTGGCTTTGGAAGAACATTATTTTAGCTGGTTATACTGCAGTGTTTATATTATAAGTACTCTTAGTGTGGCATTTTCTTTCTTTGTAAACTGATTCAGTCTATTGTCTCTACGAAAGCCTCGTTGAAGAAGAAAAGCACCAAACCAAAGAGACTGTCTGTAAAAACACTATTTGGTAAACTTATATCTTTATCCATTTAAATTTAGAGCAAATGTCTTTTACTTTTCTCACTTTCTTGTGTTCACTTGAGGCAGATGAAGAGTCAGAGACATCTGACAGCGGAAGCAGTCATCCTGTGCAAGGGAGCTTTTTGAACCTCTTGCCTCCCCAGTTAGAAGTACCTCAACACCGGGACAACTCTCTCTGACCTTGCCAGTCCGTCAGATGGACTAGGAGTTTGTTCCCAATTGTATTTTGACTTTGAAGCCGAAAGTAGGGGCAAGTTCTACCCATGGGTCCTTAACAGATGCTGCCTTCTGCTCCTGTATTTTTTTCATTGGCTATATAGGCTGGAGCTTTGAGGTTTGATTGAAAACCAAACTCAGGCTCCAATTGCTGTCCAATTGATCCAGAAGCAGGTCCTTACTGATGTTCATCCTCTTGCAGCCTTAGTTGCTGGGAGTTGATGCATAAGATTAACTGTTGCAGTGTTTATCATGTTTACAGAGAGAAACAATGTTGCTAATTGTTTGGGGAACTGGAGCTATAATTTAGATTTGAGTCTTTATATCTTTCTTGATGCTCCAACCAGGGTTTGGACTAGTTTGATTGATGATTTGTTAGAAATTACTAGAACTCGTCTAGTTTCTATTGATATACTAGTGTAGGTTGTTCTTTGGGGTTTGTCCCTCCCTTTTCATAAATTTGCGAAAAACAAGAACCCTGTCTTGATTCTTCACATACTTGGTTACAAAAACCGGAAGAAGAAAAAAACCACACTTTAACACAAACAAATGTACATATCCAAAAGAACCATTAATTGATAAACAAATAAGATAATACACCATTAATTGATAAACAAATAAGATAATACAGCAACTATCTCATCTAAAAAGTTGTATGAAAAACGGGGCTATAAGAATTATTAACTAAAATGCAATCGAAAAACATAACTAGAATAGATGGAATGGGAAATCAATTCGTTTTCCGAGTCTACATTAATTAATTAATTCAAAACATGAAAAATACTAGACATATTCAAGTCTATCTCTCTCTATTACTTGTCTTCTTCACAATTTTCCGTCCAATTGCTGCTGCAAAGCCAACTGCAACAACAATCAAAGGTGAAAAGTGAATCACTTTGGCATATGTCAACTTGATTTTACATATATACATCACCATATTCATCGACTCTTGGAATAATCCACCTATATATATATATATATATATCAAACATGAAGCACTTTGGATAATACATTTTACCAAATTTTACTTTCTCACCTGCTGCTCTGCGAAATTCCTCATATCCTCCTGTTCCATTTCGTAACAATAATCCCACATCTGGAAAAAATAAATAAATAAATAAAAATCCAGTACAAAACTGTTTCAGTACAAACTACAGCAATTTTTGACTCCATAAACAATCCCTCCACATATCACATTAGAATAACATTATTAAAGATGACCAGCAGAATATTTCCAGAGCAAGACCTAGACGACATTGTGTTGTGTGTACCTAACACATCATTTGTGGTATGTCTAATAATATGAATAATAAGGACCCCCGGGAGCGAAAACAATGCAAGCATCGAAAGCTCTCCTACAACAATCAGATATGCAAACTCCATTCTAATTATAACATTTGCAAACAAGATATTGAAGTAATGCCTCTTAACATTGGCAGCATATTTGCTCGATGACATGGATGACCACTAGCGAAACCAGATGTATGTTTCTAGAGCAAATATATATATATATATATATATATGTATATATTTATGTTCTCATGACACGGTACTTGCAAAGTTCATTAAAAAGTACTACACGAATAATAGACCTCTGAAAGCAATTAGGGTGGTAAATATACACACCAAGACCAGAAAAAAGGGGAGATGACTTGCTATATACGGTTATCATAGTCAACCAATAACAATCAAGACAAGCTAATAAAGTTTACCAAATACATGGTTATTATTTCCTCACCTCTTCTGTCCAGTCGTCGGGATCCTCAGGGATCAATGCCTCGAAATCGTCACGACTAGCAACCTACAACAATCATAGATGCAAAATTAAATTCCAAAGTGATATTACGACATTTACGAACAAACAAGTAAAGGCATGCGTCTCAACATCGGCTTATCTACTTGATTGCATAATGCTTTTTGACTCCTGGAATAACATTAATCCCCCCACTATATAGAATTAGAACAAACCCAGATGTGCTTAATATGCAAATAATATACCTAACAAAAACAACTATAAGGTGCCAAATCTTGAAAAGAAGATGACGAAAACTGGGAATCACACCCGTTATTTACCTTATCAGGAATGGTTGTACCAACATCTGAACTTGCAGCATCGTCCTGCGACACTCCAAAAAACTAATTAATAAATAACAAGAGCAGGAGAAGAAAAAGGAAAAAAGTAGAAGACATACGCTGAAAACTTTCATTAGGTCAGCAAATCGAGGATCGGCAAACGATTGGGTGACGAATCTATTAAGGGTATCACGATCGAAGCCCATGTGAGAATTCAAGCCTTCAATAGCATCATGAAAAAAAGCAAGAAGAGAATTGGCATGCCTGCAGAATGAACATCATACATGAGGACACGTCAAAAACTACAAGAATAGAGGCCAAACTAAATGAGTGACGATTTTTACTTGATCGGATCGTGCTCTCCCTCCTGCTGCCGTCGAGGAGCTTCTTCCGTTTTCTTCTCTATCTCGAGATTTGACATAAGGGGAGGTAACTGAATGGAAAATTGGATAGAATTATAAATAAATAAATAACAATCAATTTATAATAGCCAGCTTGAAATTATTGATTCTTTTGAATACCTCTGAACAGAGTTCGAACGTGTTTTTCATCATTGTTTCTTGTCCCTCAGTTGTTCGCAGGTGAATGAGAAACAGGGATACGCGAGCAATGGTTGTGAGAAGAGAAATATACCCATTCTTAGTACTAATATTATAGATAAACCCTACACCATTGAATTTCTATAAACAAACCCAAAAAATGATAGTTGGCCTTATTGAATTTAATGTTGATTATTAAATTATTTTGGTGCCCTATTGAGTGTTTTGGGTATTTTATGAGATTTTGGGGTTGGGCTTGTTTTAAGAAATTGATGGCAGTTTTGTAATTTATAAGAAGTTAAAAGCCTTTTTGTTATGTTGTAAATGAGCTTTGAGTGTGTTTCTAAAGTTCATTTCATATATGGTATTTTTATAATTTGGGCCCCTATATTGGGTATAATAGTGAATCTCCTTTTTTTTTAGGGTTCGAGAAGAAGGACTTTGGGTTTTTTTTCTCTTAAATGCCTCTGCCTTTATAGGGATGTTTTTGCGCAAGGAGATTGTGTAGATCACAAAACCACCGGGCCACGGAAGATCGGCAAACCGACTTATATTATAGCTTGTGTTTATGTTTATTTTTTTTAGTAGAACACCGACTGTATAAAACCAAAAAAAACCAAAAAAAAAAAAAAAAACAAAAAAAAAGGCAAACAACAAAAAAATTAAATTTTAAAATTTCTTTCTTATTCAGTCGAAAACAGACGTGGACAAAGATTTTGTAGAATGCACGTCAATTGGGAATCTGATTTTATTTTTTTCTTGCGAACAGGATACCCAAAAACTTGTTTCCCTTAATGACATAATTAGAAAGATATTCCCCAAGGCACCACGTTTTTTATTGAGGAACAAGATACCCAAAACATGTTTCCCGTTTTCATGAATTCAGACTCCCACATTTTGTAGGAAAGGCATGGATCAGACTCCCACATTTTGTAGGAAAGGCAGGTCCAAATCCATGGGAGGCCCGGGTAGTTTAAAAGAAGTGCGTTGAGCACATGCTCGGAGAAGAGTCCCCAACCAATTATTTTCATTCAATCTACAATCTTATGTTTACTGTCAACTATTTTTCGGAGAAGTGTCCCCAACCAATTTCGAGGCTTATTTTGGGAATTAAAAGAAAAAAAAAATCGTTTGACAATGTCGAAGCCTGATGAAGATGTCCCCGCAAACAAGAAGTTACATCTCACCCTTCATTCCATGATTCAAGATTATATTCAAGGAGGTGAATCAACTCAACCAGAGGTGCAACATAATATTAATCTCGAGCTCATCAAGAAGAACATTAAGAATGATGAGCTGGATTTCACCATTCTCCCACCTTTATCAATACAAGAAAAAAAAAGTATATGTTGAGGTGTCCAATCTCCCCGAGGAAGATGTGAAAAACAAATTAATGAAACTACTCGCTTATGCCATCCAATCCTTCTAAGAAAACAAAGACTTCGAATTCATCGTGCCTTCCAGATGTAAGAGTTACACGGTCTTCAAGCATCACTTAGTCTGTAGGTTGCTGACCAAACATGATACTAGGCGTTCCTACTATGGTACAAAATCAAAGTTATGCACATCTACCCTTTTCGTTTTGTTGACCATCTACAACACATGCTTCAGCGATAAACCACAATACATAAAGAAGTGTGAGATTTACTATCTAAATGGAGAACAGCATGTTCAGCACCACCAACATACACATCAACTGGGTCAGTGCTAGGATACAAACTGGTTTTCAGAGGCGTTGAATGTTGAATGTTGAAGCTATCGAATTTCTTAATTCGGTGTTTGTCAATGCATTTCGCTACTCCTCTTTCCAATTCGTTGTTCTCTCTCTGGTACAACAGTGATTACGAATATACTCATGAGCTTAATGAGAGAGTGCACGATGTATTCACAAGAAAATTTTCAGGATATAGTCACACTGTTGTCGTATGAGCAAATAGAAATTTTATTGTGCGACTCGTACATTTTAACTGCGATGTTGGTAAACTATATGGGGATCTGGAATGGTATCATAAACATTTGGCTACACAACTTCGACCGCGACATCTTGATGACCTTATGTGCACAGTGAAGTTCGAGCTCTACCGTGGATTGTATTTGAGGAATTTGGTGCGTCTCCTATTTTATTTGGTATACCAGGAAGGAAGTTGGTAGAAGTTTTATGCAACGTGTAGCATCTTGGGCATGCACTCCTCTAAATAACTGCAAGAATGCTAGACTAGTCCGATAATTAGTGTGTGCATGTAGAATCATATCATTTGGAATTAACTTTATGCACATATTGTTCTTAAGTTAAAGTTTATTTTAGACTTTTCTTTTGCACCACACTGTTTCTTCTTTGCTGCTATGAGGCGCTTTTGCTTATGATTTACATGGTGAGACACAATTTCTCATATAAATTATTGTTGAAGCAGGACTAGTAAGTATCTCCCAGAACAGTCCCCTTTGGTATTTTTTTTCCAATATAATGAAACACACAATGAGATCAAACAAACATACAGGCTCACGAATATCCCGCTGCTGTTGTTGCTGCTTAGGAAGGAAGACTCGGAGCTAGGCCTTTCTAACAATCTCCCAATACCTGTAAAGTTAGAATAGAGGACATGAAAAATAAATGAAGAATAAGTGGTTTGATCACTTTTTGTGGTTGCTAAATTAAAAGAGAAATTAAAAAAGAAAACAGAAAGGATCATTGATTTGATCACCTCCTTTGTTTGTTCAGTTCTTCCCTGACTTCTTTAAGTTCTCTCACACAAGTGGGGTCTTGATGAGTGGGATTATCATCGGGAGGTGGTGGGGTGCAACAAGGGTCTTCAACGCCAGCTTCATTTATGTCCTTGTTTTTTAGTATAGTGGTGACTGCAGCCGCCGCATCTCTCTTCAGCTTTGTAACTTCAATTGACAGCTTTTCCACCTTCTCATTTTGTAACTTGTACCTTAATCACAACACAAATCAGGGAACTATCTTATTAGACTTTCAAGTTTCAACCTTACTAATACTATACTGCAACTTGTACACAAAGTCACCAAAATAAGAGTTCAGAATGACTAATACATGCTATGTCACTAATTAACACTAATTAGCGTATGATATCAACACTAATTAATATAACCAATTAATTCAAAAACAGAGTCCTTACCTCTCTGCAAGCCATTTGGTCCTTGCAATGGGATCCTCGAGCTTTCTCTTCTTCCTACTCCTCATAAGGTTCAAATCTTCTTCGTTTTCTTGTTCAATATCATCATTATCATCTAGCACTATTACCTCTAACCCCTTCTCTCCTGCTTTTGCTTTTACTTCTTCCTTATCAGTGCTAGAGCCCCACTGCACCATCCTAATGAACTTTAGCTCCGAGCAGCATGGGCCTTCTTTGGACGCTGTCCAAATGTCGCTGCTGGGCACAACACTTGTCTGGTAATTTGTGGTTGTCGCTGAGGGTGTAAAAGCCCAGAAGCTCCAAATGTTGCTCCGATCTGCAATTTCCTTGTTGGGATTCTCCAACAAAACACCTCTGCAGCCACTTGTGGCTAGGTAGGTGAATCCCAAAAGACCAAAAAGCCTTTAAAATGATATTTGTTACATAATCATATTTTCCTACTTGCTAATATTTCTTTTTTGTTTGACTGAAAATGTGGACATATTTGGGACTTTGAAATTGGAAACATAAGAGTGTGAATGAGAGTCGGTTTTTTCTTTTGGCTTAAATGCTCTCTTTCCTTTTGGATTTTTCTTCTTCATCAACTCTTTCTCACTCCTCATTCACCCCTCCACACCAAAAAGCCAGTAAAAGCAGTGAGAGTCTGTTTTCATTTCAGAGCTCAGTGAGGATTCGGTTTTCATTTCAGAGGAGATGAGGCAAGACCAAAACTAGGCACACGACCCTTTTTTGGCGAGGCATGCTCTGCCCCCAACAACTGCTTCTTGGCCCCTCTGTGTATCACCGGGTTACCATATTTTTATCTTCTTCCCCTATTTTTATTCTTCTGCTTCTGCAACTCAACTGTTTGATTGATCTTTTCTCGATGTTTTGAAATGGGTACAGAAAATGTCATTCAAGTGCCATTATAAGCATTATTCCATATTTTCGGTTTGTAATTGATCTCTGTTTGAGTTTAAGACCCTCAACATTTGGCTCATGAGCTGCTAGTCCTCTACTGATAGTAGAGGAGGTTCTGGAGATGGCAATAAAAAAATTTAGCGTCCACACACATTGATCATAAACGATTAAAACTTGGAAGGAACTGTGGAATAATGTAATAGAAATGCTGACATTTAAAAAAGAGTAAAAGAAACGTTGCAAAAAATGCTAATCGCATAAAGTTATCATATTTTCATAAAGCTATTGTTAGGATTGTCTTTCATTACGAAAGAATTCCCCAGAATTCATGACCTACGGAAGGAAAAATTATGCCAAATAGAAAACAAAAAGAGGAAGTGGAATATGGAATATGGAATGCCAAACTAAAAGTTCCTTCAGCATCTTTCGTTGTCTGAAATTTTTTTATGTAGATAAAGACCTAGGAAACAATGCCATTAATTATTAGAAACCAAAAAGAGTAAGAATCATATAAATCCAGAGATTATAAGTTAACTGATAGAATATTACCATTCACAAGCTGAATACATTATATAAAAAATTCAGTCTACAGGTATTCAGTTGTGTATTCTAATTCTGTGAGTTGATTTCATGGTCTCTGGAAGCTTCCTCTTATTCACGAAAACCACACTCTAAAGTTCGTATGTGACGCAAACCACGAGCCTTCCCTTCTATGTAAAGCTGCGGTAATGTTGGCCAGTTGGAATACTTTTGTATCCCCTCCATGACTTCATTGTCTGTAAGAACATCGAAACTTGCAAATTTGATCTTCTTTTCCTTCAACATGTCAATGGCCAATTTGCTCAATTTACATTTGGGCTCCTCAGGGGTTCCTTTCATGAAAAGCATGATTGGATTAGAGTCAATCAGTTGCTGCAACCGCCTTTCCAAGGCATCATCAAGGCCATTTTGCACTTGAATTCTTTTTTGACCAAAATTTTGCACTTGAACTTGCATCTGCTGGTGAGAAGATCCAGTAGATGCTGAGATTCCACTCTTTCCACTTCCAGCTTCAGTTACCTTTGCCCCAGCATAATCAGTAGTATCCATTCCATGTTCTTTGGAAACTTCCTCTAATTCAATTACCTTCGCCCCAGTAGAATCAGCAGTATCAATTCCATGGTCTCTGGGTACTTCCTCTAATTCACCACTTCGACGCATTAAAATTTCTGTCTCAGACCAACCACGGGGCTTCCCTTTGTAGTAAATCTGCGGTATTATTGGCCAGTTAGAATACCTCTTTATCCCCTCCATGACTTCATTGTCCGTAAGAACATCGAAACTTCCAAATTTGACCTTCGTTTGCTTCAAAATGTCAATGGCCAATCGGCTAACGTTACATTTGGGCTCCTCAGGGCTTCCTTTCATGAAAAGCATGAGTGGATTAGAGTCAATCAGCTGTTGCAACCGCCTTTTCAAGGCATCATCAAGGCCATTTTGTGCTTGAATTTGCTCTTGCTTCTGGGAAGATCCATTTTCTTTTGCTAACTCGTGGACTGTCTCAAGACTGGCAGGAGCAGGAGCATCAGGTTCTCCAGGCTTAACTGACCCAGCAACCCTAGCAACTTTATGGGCCAAAATAGATGGATCTGCACCTTCTAATGTATCAGCGACCTTTCCATCCTGACCAAAAAAAGCACAAACAAAAAATGACCAAGAGAAGAACAGATACAGAACAATCGAAAGAACCCAAGCCAACAACGATATTAGTTTCAAAAGTTTATCTAACAGCAAAATTCTTTTTCCGATCATAACTCAATTCATACTTGCACGCGTTTCCACTTATTCATATTGCATGTGACACCTAAGTTCTACATCTTCAAAACAGTTGATCAATGATCATAAATCATGTGACAAAAAATTCAACAGAACCTTATTATCTAAATGCAGAACTTTGTTATATTGCATGCCGGCCTCACATCCAACGACCTAACTATGCTTACTCAAAATCAGCCAGCATCAAATCAAAAAGGAAACATGAATAGACTAGTATACCAAATAAGCATACCTTCACAAAGGCAAAGTAGGGCACATCACGAACCGAATAAGCCCCGAATATCTCAGGCTGTTCTTCTGCTTCAACCTACAATATTTTATCATCAATTGGAGATTTTAAAAAAAAACACCAGCACACACACATACAAAAGACCAGGAAAAAAAAACCCAGATAGAGATGAGAAGAATACGTACCCTTAAGAAATGGGCATGAGGGAAATCAGTAGAGAGGTGGGCAAAGACCTCGTCCATGTGCTTCGAAGCCTCACAACTCGAGGCCCAGAACTGCAGAACAACGGGTGCACCACTGTGAACCACGCTATCAAGCTCCTTCTTGGATTGCACATCCTTCGCTGAGCCACCCATCGATAACGGAGTCTTTTATAACTTCTAAGCCCTAAATGCACAAAATTTAGAGAGAGAGAGAGAGAGTTTTTTTTAGGTCAAACAAAGAGAGAGTGAAAGAGAAAGAAAACGCAAAGAGCATTATATATAAAGGCCAACGCAGAGTTTAGGGAAACTTTCAGATACTAGGAAATACCCTTTCAGATAAATCAGGTTAATAAGGAATCAAATAATAAAAGTTAAATTTAAATATTAAAAAAAGAAAAAAGAGAGAAAGTTAAAATAACGTATTGGGTAGCTAATTGTGCTACCTGATTTGATTTTTATAGAACTTTCATAACTTCCTTATTTTTATATTTGAAAAACATATTCCTTCCAAACAAGACATTCCATATCAAATTTTAAAAAATAATAAAAAGATCTCATTATTGATTTCCTTCTGTGATTGATTCCTATTTGGCTAGGAAACATTTATTCGTCACATTATTTGTCCTATTTGGCTAGCAAAGCATTAGAAACATGTATTCGCAAAAATTACTTCATTATACAGAAACAACTTTAAATGGCGAACAGCATGTTCAGCACCACCAACATACAGAGGCGTTGAATGTTTATTGTTTGAAGCTATCGAATTTCTTCCAAATTTTTACGCTCTCCGTGGTTTGGCCTTATTTTTTTTTTTTTTTTTTTCTGTTTTTTTTTTTTTTTTTTTTTTTTTTTTTTTTTTTTTTTTTTGTTTCCCCTTTTTTTGTTTTCTTTTTTTGCTCTTTTGTTTTTTTCCCCGTTTTATGGGTAAGATTTTTTTCCTTTCCCTAAACAGAACAAGTCCCTTTCTTATAAAAGGATGACTGCTGATGTTAATTTGGTTGAAAAATATTTTATGTTCATCTTTCTTTTTCAACAACAAATTTGTGATTGCAGCAGGTTGAACTTTTGCTCTGTTGTATTGATACACTTCAGTCGAACATGGGAATGGCAAATGCATATTCTATGATCAACCAAGAATTGCAAAACTCAGTTTCAGAAAAGGAATACTTGGAGAAAACCAATCAAGAGTTCAAGGTTTGCGACTTTTTTTTTTTTTGTAATTTTTTTTTGTTGGTTTAAATGTATTATACCTACTTCGTGGTTTCTTACCATTCTCCGATTTCCGATTTGGGGTTTTTTTGGTTCTTTTGCTTCGTTTTTTATTTTTATTTGCCGTTGTTTTTCTATAGTTTTTTTACCACTGCAGAGGAGAAACCGGGTTGGCTAGATGAGCGGGGAATGGAGGCCATGGGTTGGGGGCGGTAGTCGGCGATGGGGAAGGGTTGGGTTGTGGTGGAGGGTGTGTTGGTGGGGCTTGTCGCTTTTTTTTCTTTCTTTCTTCTTTGTTATCTTTGTTATCTTATTTATTATTAAGCCTAAATATTTGCTGCCGTACGTCTTACTTTCAACCTATTTCTTATGTAAACAACTACATACCAATCATCTTCCTCTTTGTTTTTTTTCGTTGGTGTAATGTCTTTAATGTCTTTTCAATTACTGCATTCTCGTTCCCTTAATTGTTTAATTCAGGAACAACAAGAATATTGAATAAATTATTCAATTTTTTACGCAGGGAAAGGGACGAGACGCCACAAACCTCGTGGTTATATGTGATGATACAATCTTAGTTGGTGTCAATACCAGGGTTACATGTGGTCAAAGAAAAGGGTTTATACTCGATGAAAAAGCAAAGAAATTATTTACAATCAGTGACAATATACTTGCAGTCATTGCGGGAGATAATAATCAATGCACTGAAATGTTAACTTATGTGAAGGAAAGGATGAAATATCCAGTGGAAATACATAGGGAACCATATGCAGGCATCCGTCTTGCAGCAATAGAAGCCTGGAGATATTGCAATTTTGTAACGAAATTTGATGGGCGTGCTCTTATAGTTGGATGGGAGAAAAAAGATGAGAGCTATCATCCTCTTACATATCTCGTTAGTACATCTGAACTTATCGAAAAATCCACTCCTTACGAAGCACTTGTGAATGGATCCGGTGGTCAATATGCTTATTTTTATTATGAGGTTTACAAGAAAGGCAACAATAGAGAAGAAATTTTCGAACTTATGAAAAGGGCTTTATTATTTGCAGCCATTTTTGATGAAAATAGCGGTGGTATTATACGTGTGGTTGAGTTGAAACCATTAGGCCATTATGAGTTATATCACCAACCGGTTCTAAATGTGCTTTTTTATCATTACAATGATTTCGCTACTCCTCTTTCCAATTCGTTGTTCTCTCTCTGGTACAACAGTGATTACGAATATACTCATGAGCTTAATGAGAGAGTGCACGATGTATTCACAAGAAAATTTTCAGGATATAGTCACACTGTTGTCGTAGGAGCAAATAGAAATTTTATTGTGCGACTCGTACATTTTAACTGCGATGTTGGTAAACTATATGGGGATCTGGAATGGTATCATAAACATTTGGCTACACAACTTCGACCGCGACATCTTGATGACCTTACTGTGCACAGTGAAGTTCGAGCTCTACCGTGGATTGTATTTGAGGAATTTGGTGCGTCTCATATTTTGTTTGGTATACCAGGATGGAAGTTGGTAGAAGTTTTATGCAACGTGTAGCATCTTGGGCATGCACTCCTCTAAATAACTGCAAGAATGCTAGACTAGTCCGATAATTAGTGTGTGCATGTAGAATCATATCATTTGGAATTAACTTTATGCACATATTGTTCTTAAGTTAAAGTTTATTTTAGACTTTTCTTTTGCACCACACTGTTTCTTCTTTGCTGCTATGAGGCGCTTTTGCTTATGATTTACATGGTGAGACACAATTTCTCATATAAATTATTGTTGAAGCAGGACTAGTAAGTATCTCCCAGAACAGTCCCCTTCGGTATTTTTTTTCCAATATAATGAAACACACAATGAGATCAAACAAACATACAGGCTCACGAATCCATATCGGAATGTTGCAACTGTGAATCTCTCATCAAGGTAGCCCCTCCCTTGTGCGTATTGAGCTTAATGCCACTCGTCCCCTGGAAAAAGAAAAAAATAATAAACACAGATCTGTAAAGTGCATAAAGCTAATTTGAGTAATTAATTGGTCAATGTAGAGCCTGCAGAAGGAATGAAGTATGTACAGCATTCATTGACCATTACATACATATATGCACAATAAAATTGGTGACATTTTCATGGTCATAATAATGAGTGAGCATGGAGGTTATCCTTAGCATTATGTATATATGCACAACAATAATGCTCTAAACTTGTGCTTCTTTATAATACTAATTAATATTGTCAGTAAATCATTTTTGGGGATGATACGTATATATATATATATATATGTACGTATACATTAGTGACTAATGAATTATAAATATTATTTGATGGATGGTATGAAGGAATATTATATTGCATGAAGAAATTGGGATGATGAAATGAAACCCTGGAAGAACCCGTCAATAGAGCATAGACAAAATCAAAAGGTGAGGAGGGAGAAGAAGAAGAAAAGTTTGGAGGAGATTATAATAAATTAACGCATGCAGTGAAGTAGCCACATCACTCACTCAAATAAAGAGAACAGTGAGAATATACATAGCAGGAGGAGGACGAAAATTACCCCCAATGTGGTCCTCACAGTGCCACCACCACCTAACCTCAGCTGCATGGCTCTCTCTCCTGTCAAGCCTGTAACTTGTGCAATTTCCATAGCAGATTAGCAGAGAGAGAATCCCGCCGGGCTAGGTATTTAGTGCGTTCTAACTTCTCACTCTTTGTTTGGGTCCAAAAGTATAGTTGTTATTAATTCTCTATACCCATTTTACCCTCGAGTTAAATAAGGGAAACACCATATCATGCATTTTGTACATTTGATATAAAGAAATAATAGCAAAGCCCTAGGAGTTGATGTTCAAAGGGAAGTCACCGTCAAAGCAAATAGGGCTACTTAGATTCAGACATACATGGAGGAAAAGCTGTCAATTGAAGTTACAAAGCTGAAGAGAGATGCGGCGGCTGCAGTCACTACTATACTAAAAAACAAGGACAGAAATGAAGCTAGCGTTGAAGACCCTTGTTACACCCCACCACCTCCCGGTGATAATCCCACTCATCAAGACCCCACTTGTGCGAGAGAACTTAAAGAAGTCAGGGAAGAACTGGACAAACTAAGGAGGTGATCAAATCAATAATCCTTTCTGTTTTCTTTTTTAATTTCTCTTTTAATTTAGCAACCGCAAAAAGTGATCAAACTACTTATTCTTCATTTATTTTTCATGTCCTCTATTCTAACTTTACAGGTAGACCTGGCAAACGGGTCGTTTTAACGGGTTCCGGGTCGTGTTCGTGTTAATCCGTTAAGGTAACGGGTTGAACACGACACGACCCGTTAACTTAACGGGTGGAAAATATCAAACCCAAATACGACCCGTTACAATTCGCGAATAATCCGCACGACCCGTTAAGAATAAACAAGGAAAAAAAAAATTATTGCCCAACGCTAACTCTTCTTCCCCCAAACCCCAGCCCTAACTTTTCCCTCTTCGTTTCTGTCTCATCCCCCCACCCCCAAGAAAAACAAAAAAACCTTCTATGTCTTTCTCAGGTATCTCACAAAATTGGTCCCTATCTCTCTCTCTCTCTCTCTCTGATAACCACTTTCACAGTCAGTCTCATTCAATCCAACCTTAAAACCCAACAACAGCAGCAAAAACAAAGGAATAAAGAGAGATGGGGAAGTACATGAAGAAATCTAAAATCTAAGGTGACGTCGCCGTGATGAAGGTCTCCGTTTCACAACAATCTTCTCTTGGCTGGGCTGAGTCTGTTGAGTGGAGAGAAGAAGAGAATTTTTTTTGTAAAAAACAAAATGAGAGATAGGGAATGACAGGAAGAGGAAGAAGAAAATGAAAAAAAAATAGAGAGCTGGAGATAAGGGGAAAGAAGAAGAAAAAAAAGTGAAGAGTCACGGAGAGAGAATGGGTTGAAGGAAAAATAATATTTAAAAAGAGAGTGGGAAAGATGGAGAGATAAAAAAATGACAGAAAAAAAGAAGAAGCATTCTTTTGGTGTTAGGAATGAAGATATGTTTTTTTAAAAACATTTTTCAAAATTACAAAATTACCCTCTTTAACGGGTGGATGCGAATATTCGCGAATTGACCCAACACGACCCGTTAACTTAACGGGTGGCTAACGGGTTCACCCGTTTTCAACCCGACCCATTAAGCTCAACCTAAATACTGATAATTTCGTGCGAATTCGTGTCGTGTTAACGGGTCGTGTGTAATATTGCCAGGTCTATTTACAGGTATTGGGAGATTGTTAGAAAGGCCTAGCTCTGAGTCTTCCTTCCTAAGCAGTAGCAGCAGCAGCAGCAGGAAATGGAGGAGATCCTCACCTCAGTGCAACTCTCTATCTATCTTTCTATCTATCTATCTAAAATATATCATTAGGAACTTAACCAAGGTGTATTGGGGTTTATTTAAATTGGCTTCTTTTGGACTTAACCAAGCTATATTAGGAACTTACTTAACCAAGCTATATCAATTTAAGTTGCTGTATTTTGGCCATGCAGGTTGTTGGTTCAATTGGGGCTTTGTTTTCTGTCTTTAGCCAAACTTGGGCCAAAAGCAAGTTTGGGCCCAGCGACCTTACAAAATAAAGTACCAAGTTTATTTTATCTTCTTGTAGCAATCTAAACAAACGAATTTAAATATAGCTGCAAAATATAAGAGAAAGAATGAAGTCGGTACCTTTGGAATAGCAAGGAAATCAAGAATTCCAAGGAGGTCAGTGATAAGGTCTTCTCGGGTTGGGAATTTGAGTTTCTATGTGAAACTCATTCTAAATTTGTAATCAACAGATGCCAAAGATTTGTAGTTTTTTTAGCAATTTGCATTAGAAATCATAATTACAATTCCACTCTCTCTTTTCGTCATTTTTGGGTGGATGAATTGAGTATGTTTGTACCTCAAAGTTCAAACGCTGCCATGCAAAATTACAACTTGGATGAATTCAGTATGTTTCTATTCATACCAGATTCACCTTCCAACCGTAGTAGACTTGGGGTTCAGAATTTCACCAAGAGTTAGTTGTACTTGAACAGCACCCAAAAATGTTTCCGACACGTCATAAAATAATATGCCACGTGTACGATCAAGATCTCTCGTGAGGGGATCATGGGTTATCATTGTTGAGAGAAAGAGTGGCCATGTCACCATGTCTCCATAATCTGAAGATTAAAAAGTTGGTTTTCAAATGGTAAGTAGAAATTACAATCCATTCAATTGAACTAGGAAAGAAAACCCAATTAAATGAGTTGGGTTGGATAAAAATATAGAATTACATATTTTTATTAAAAGGGGATTTTTGGACTTTTGATTGCAACTTGGAAGCACATTTGGCTGGCTCAGCCGAGTTCAATTTGGCGTGGAAATTGTATGACCATGACTTAACGTCTACCATAGCTATACAACATAAAAAATTTCTTTGACCACCATTATTTATAAAATAGGATTGTAAGTAAAATGGTGCCGTGTGAATACAATTTTTTTTTAATGAATTAAAATAAAAATAAAATAAAAAATTATTTGAGTCAATGCTTTGGAGCAAATAGATATGTAAGAGTTACAAGATATTCCAAATCATAGAAAATACATATGTGTTATATATCTTGGAATAGATATATAAGATATTCCGAGATATATAAGAGTTACAAGATATTACATATATCTTGGACCCAGAAACAATATATACCAAAGGAATAGTAGCCAATATCAAATTTTGGCTAAACTAACCCATTTTAAACTTACTTTAGTTACACCACAAGAGTATACACAAAAACAAGTGATTGAGGCAAAGTAATTTTCATATTTTGTTAGTTAACTTTGTTCTTGATTCTAAAATCTGTCTTAAAAATCCTTAAGAATTCAAATTCATTTCACATTGGTCATAATCAACCATTAATTAAACGGTTGTTACTTTCTTTATTATTATTATTTATTATTATTTTCACAAATCTCTTTTATTGCATGCATTTAACAAAGCGTATTACATTCTCAAATGTTGGTAAGTATTTTGATTTTTCATTATCCTTAGCACGAAAAATAAAAGACAAAAAATAAAAGCCTCGGATATACGCGCTAAAAGCGAGCCAACTGGCGCGGAGGAGCCAAGCCTAAGACACAGAAAAGTGGTGGGAACTTTCACTACCTGGTATATATTTTTGGTTCCCAATGCTCAAAACACAAACATTTCACTTCAATCTTTTGCCGCTTCCACCGTTAAAATGCTCTTCAACTTTCTCTGCAACTCTCAGCTGCTTCCTCTCTCTTGTCAGTTGTCTCTACCGTCACAAAACCAGAGCCAATTGAACTCTCTCAGTAAAAGCTAGCACAAACCAGACAACCAGCTAACCAACCAACCAAACCATGTTTGATGATGAAAGTCCCAAACTTCCTAACCCACTCATTGTCTTTATCTACCAATTGCAATACTTAAAAAGATCGATACTTTCCGTTCTTCTTAGCTTGCCCACTTCTCTTCTTGCTCTGCTTCTCCTTCTCCTTTTGGCCTACAATGGCTTCTATGTCTTCTGTATTTACCTTCCTCTTTCCAAGCCCTCGCCGGACCCCGCCATTCTCTCCGCGGGAAATCTCGCCGGGGATTCTGTAAGTAATTTGGTTCCTGCGCATGTTTCTTCTTCTTCTTCAAGTTCAAAAATTTCTTCTTCTGTGATGTATGTGGTGAAGGAAGAAAATGCGCCAATGTTCTTAAAGACCCATTTGCCTCCTCTGCACAACCCAAGAAATTCAATGGTACCCATCTCAAAATTTTCACTCCAAAGGCCAAGGCGGATCAAAAAACACAAGCGCAAGCTCAAAAGCTTACCCCCTGAACCAAAACTCTCTCTTTTTTCAACAAGAATGAGAGACTTCTTTGCTGGTAACTCTTCTTCTTGTAAAGTCAGGTTCTTTATGACTTGGATTTCGTCCAAGACTTTTGGAAACAGGGAATTGCTGGCTGTGGAGAGCTTGTTCAAGTCCCATCCAAATGCTTGTTTGGCCATAGTCTCAAATTCGCTGGATTCAAAGAAAGGAAGTCAAATTTTGAGGCCATTCTCAGAAATGGATTTCAGGGTAATGGCAATTTCTCCGGACTTTGATTACTTATTCAAGAACACTCCTGCAGAAGCTTGGTATTATGAGCTAAGGACAGGGAAAGTGAATCCTGGTGGAGTTTCTTTGGGTCAAAATCTCTCTAATTTGCTTAGGCTTGCTTTGTTGTATAAGTTTGGTGGTATTTATTTAGACACAGATGTTATAGTGCTAAAGAGTTTATCAAAGTTGAGAAATGTGATTGGAGCTCAGGCAATTGATGCCCAAACTGGGAATTGGAGCAGACTGAATAATGCTGTGTTGGTATTTGATAAGAACCATCCATTGATCTTCAAGTTTATCCAAGAATTTGCTCTCACATTTGATGGGAACAAGTGGGGTCACAATGGCCCTTACTTGGTTTCAAGGGTGGTTTCAAGAGTGAGAGAAAATCCAAAAAACCCAGGTTTTAATTTCACTGTCTTAACACCCTCAGCGTTCTATCCGTTTAACTGGAGCCGAATTCGGAGTCTCTTTCGGGGTCCTAAAGATGAGCTTCATTCAAAATGGTTACTTGCAAAGCTGAGGCATATTTGTTCTCAAAGCTTTGCACTGCATTTGTGGAACAGCCAGAGTAGACGGCTGAATGTTGAGAAGGGAAGCATTATTGATCATCTAATGTCAGAATTTTCGATCTTTCCCAATTCTTCAGCTTCAAGCTCTGTCAAGATAGAATAAGGTTGATAAATTGTGCATGTGTTACTTTGTCTTGTTCATTGTTTTAGAGGTTGGTTGTTTTTGTATGTAAGGTATGTTTCAACTGCCAACTCAGTTCGTTCAGATATTGTAGTGGTGAATGGCTGAGGAGGAATAAAAGAAATAACAGAAAAAATCGAAAATCAAAATGATTTTTTCTTGTATATTTATCATTGGTTCTCATGATGAAGAAATTTATCTTGGCCCTTTTAATTTTCTGCACTTGTACTATCTTATGGAGATCAGAAAATGCAAAGAAGTTTTTAGCATTTGAAGATTTCATTTCCTGCTCTTTTCTGAGGAGGCTTTCTGCCATACTGCATGAGGTGTAGGGAATCTTTCATGAACTTAAAATGTCAAAGCTATACGAATAGTTTTGGATTGTCAAATTTGTTTTAAGCAAATTATGGGGAACAAAAAGCTTATTATAATATATAACCTTTGAATCTCCATTCTGATTACATTATTGTGAAAGCGATATATAAGCTTCCAATCAATGTCGGCACCTACTTCCTGGCCTGATGATGCACGTCGCTATATGCTTCCCTTTATATTCTCTCATTAGTCCAAAGATTAGATGCCAAAATTGTAACCCTCAATCCATAATTTATTATGGCCTCTGAGAGTTTCAATTTTGAAAGTAAAGACTTTTCTTGTCGATGCTTTTGTTTGATGGGTTCAAGATCATCAAAGTAGAAGGTTGAGGAGGTTAAGCACTAGCAAATTGTGGTGATCTATCTGAATTCGAGTAAGCATGTTTAGGTGAGACACATACTTCTTGCTAATTGTCCAGAGCAACAAGGCAGAAGACATGCCGCTTATCATGCTTATCTGCCATGTGTTTTAAGATATCAGGAAAAAAAAACAAGAAGAAGAAATAAATTAATTAATTGAGTGAAAGATGGACTTAAACAAGTCATTGACTACTGTTTTTCTTCCTCTATAAAGTGTTCAAGTGATCTTAACATAAAATTTTATTCAAATATATTTCAGAACATGCTGAAGTTGCTAACACCAGATCTCAAGCATTAATGGGTTCCAATCTCTGTATCATGGAGTGTGAATCACTACATCTTCTTTGCAGATGGTTTTCTGTATTTTACAGAGTGGCCACATGGCTATAGTTACGGGCCATATTTATGATCCACCTTAGCCCTACATGTACAATTAGTTCTCTCTTTGTGTAAAGACGGTTCTTTTTTGCGGCAATGGGCTTGTTGCTCAAGTGGTTAAGAACATTTACCTTTGCATTCTAGGTCATATGTTCGATTTCCCCCTCCCCCAATATCACTTTGTACAAAAAAAAAATGACGGTTCTTGTGAATGTCTACGTAGATTCTAATTCTTGATTGAATATACTTGACCTAAAAGGAGGGATTATTTTGGGACCAGTTTCTACTCGAGGACAAGATTCACACTGGAAGTTGTATATGTTTAAGCATCTAAGTATAACCTCTATGGGATTGTCCTTTGTCTTTATGTTGAACGTGTTGGTCTACATCACATGTGGCCTCAATATGTTCTTTCACTTTCACTATGTTCCTGCCCATCAAATAAATGTTGATATCCTCCTAAAAGAACATATTGATTCAGGGATTACTGCTAAAATTAAGGTAGACACAATAGTACTGTCAAGCTTATTCAATCAAACAGCAAGAACACTAAGCAATGCACATATTTCAATTTCTCTGAAATGCTTCTAACATCACACAGATATAAGGCTTTTAGGTAATAGAATATAATATATTGCACATCCCGAAAGACATAAAGACCAACTATCACAAAGATATCAATGTCCTTTCGGCCAAGAGTTTGGAAATGCCAAAATCAGATACATGATGAACCACTGAGGTTGAATAACCATGATGCAGATATTCCAACGCTAATGCAACATCTAGCAGTATGTTTAGTCTTTGCAGTAGATCCAAAAAATAGTTGGGAGAATACAACAAATTCTCAAGGCACCCACTAAGCATGCCCTCCAGTATATCTCAAGGCTTTGAAATCAAAATTGGAACAACTTGTAATGATTTTGATGAGAGTTGTGCGGCAGATGTTGCTCAATGTTTCACATTCACAATCAGAAGTCTTTGGATGTTGGAAAGTATTCCTTTGTTCACAGAACTGAAATCTCCTCTGCCTAGCAACCTACGTGATAAGGTAATGTATTTGCTGGATTTGATGTGTCATGCACGTAATCCATTTCATTGAACCATATTATCTAACAACCATAATTGGATTCAAAGTACCCTTTGAAGAGTTGAACCGAAACAAGAAAAAAAACTCTCACATCAGCTACATTCTGATAGGAAAAATTGAGTGGAACAAGGTTACAACAAGGCCTTTGACTAAACCCTGGTACGAATGGCAAATGAAAACAAATTAAAAGTCCATAGATTATTCAGTAACAAATGAAAACCACCAAGAACCATAGGAACCACACATCTAGATTTAGAGCTGCTTAATAAAATGCGTACTGTTGTAGAGAACCAGAAACACAATCCTTATTGTTTCAATTAACTCAACTCCATCTGATTTCTATCTTACGAGCCTTCATGGTGAAGAACATGGAAGCTCTAAATAAGTTCAAGTACATGGGGGCCAAGAACAAGATGACAGAATCTTGACCTCTTTTGGTTCTGTTATAATATGTGCAATCGGTACACTTCACAGACAAATCAGTATAATAATACTCAAACAATTTGGTGAAAAATAAGTATACTAGGACAAAATATGTGTAACCCGCAACCTGCCCAATATGGCTTCGGGCTTGCAGGCTCTACTGTTGGAAGTTTGTGGTTTAGCAATCAAGTATGCCTCCCACTCATGCTTTCTGCACTAGACGCTCTGCATCTCCCATTTCAACCTCACCGCTTTGCCATTCTCCTTTATCTTGGAAAAGCATTTCAATTTCTTCTAAAGACTTTCCTTTTGTTTCTGGAACACATGTATGGACAAAAGCAACAGAGAGAGCTGAAATCACTGAAAAAATAAAGAAGGTTCCTGCTACTGTTATCGCTCGAGACACGGAGAGGAAGGACATGGTAATCACACCACTACTAACCCTACTACCAACAGCCCCCAGGGCGGATGCTTGAGCTCGAAGTTTAAGAGGGAAGACTTCAGATGACAAGACCCAACAAATTGGGCCAATTCCTACTGAAAAGAAAGCTACATTTCCACAAACAGTTAATATTGCCAATCCAATTCCCAGTTTTCCATTTCCTGGAAGAGCTAGAGCAAGGCTCAGACCAAATAAACAAGTGGTCATTCCTATTGTGCTCACATAAAGCAAAGGCTTTCTGCCCACTCTATCAATGAGAAAGATGGCTACCAAGATGAACACAGTTTTGGTAAACCCAACAATAACAGTTGCAGCAAGAAGTTGAGTGTTGCCTTTGATCCCAGCATTTTTGAAAATTGTTGGACTATAATACACAGTTGCATCAATACCGGTAATCTGTTGGAAACATTGGATTCCACAACCAGTAATCAGCATTCGACGAACTGCAGGATTAGGATTCAAAATTTCGTTCCATATAGCTTTTGCTTCATACTTTTCAGCATTAGCCATCCCTGCAGCTAATTGTATTTCAGCCAATCTTTCCTCCACATCACTTTCACTCTCATTTGTCTTGGTCAGTACTATTTTTGCTTCTTCAATCCTATTCTGCATCACCAACCACCTTGGAGATTCAGGGATCACAAAAAGAGAAAATCCAAGAAAGACTGAAGGTATGATTCCCACACCAAGCATGACCCTCCAGCTTATATGCACTGGAAGTCCCGAAAAAGCATAGTTTGATATGTATCCAAGAAGGATACCTAGATTTACAAAAATCTCAGGAAAAGATGTAAGAGAGCCTCTGGCTATTGCAGGAGAAATCTCAGCAATGTAAACAGGTGCGATCATGACCCCGAACCCTATCCCCACTCCGGCAAAGAGTCTACCAATCATCAGCACTTCAAAAGAAGGAGCAAGAGCCATTATGAGAGCACCAGTCTGAAAGACAAAGGATGCAAATGCAATTGTCCACTTTCTACCAATGGCATCTGATGTTTTTCCACCTGCTAAACTACCCAATAGGGAGATTATGCTCAAAATTCCAACAAGAAGTTCTTGTTGTACGTCTGTGATTTTTAGATCCTCTTGGATGAACAAAATTGCTCCACTCATAACACCCACATCTGCATGGTGATAAATACACATTATAAACCACGTCGTTGTACAGTGCTAAACCCACATTACCAGCAAAGTAAAGGGGCATAAATTAGAAAGGTTAAGATTGACTTCAAGAATCCTCTTAAATAAAAACCAAAATCACAATGGATTAGGCCCAGAGAAAAAGAAAAAACAATGGAACAACATATTCTCGAAAGGCAATGACTTTCATTGTCAAAAGCAGATTCTTTACTTCATTATGCTAGTTTCAATTCCTCAAAGCATTTAAAAAAGAATATTGCAAGATGACACTTTAACTTCAGAGGTGAAATTTGTCACCCTATATTTCTGGAACTTAACCCAAAACATGATATTTCTGTTCACTTGGGTTATCTCAATATATAAACTAAAATGACTCTTGATCTGCATCCAATTGCGTCCACTTAGATGATCCAACTGTCTTCACGGGCTTGTAACATTTTAATCCAACAAGACAACAAGTGTCTTTTAACAATTAAGTTGAAAACATTCGTAGAAAATTTTACATCAATTGCAGAAAAAAGTTCACTAAAACACCAAGTTAAACGTGCACTATATTTGTGCTATATCTAGTTTATATAAAATGCCAGAAAACTGAAGAAGTTGATTGAGTCTGACAAATAACTCCAGTTGATTGAGTCTTCACCAAACAAATAGATCGAATATAAACATATTAAAACAAAGAAAATACATTGAAAACAAAAAACAAAAATAGAAAAGCAAAATTGAATAAAACCAAAATAGTATATCAAGAATTAAGCAGATCAAGCTGAAAACATATAGATCATGTTGAAGATCAGGTTCAAGTACCAACCGTATCCAAGAAGCACGGAATTGAGAGAGGCAAAGATGGCGCAGGCAAAGACATATTTCTTGGTATTTCGGTTTTCCTTTGTCAATGGAACATCTTCCTCTGTGTCTACAACCTCGGAATCCATTCTCTTGTACTTGGTCTTGCTCCCAAGTGGAAATTCAGAACCAGACACTCCATTCTCAGTAGCATTCTTATTTTCCTCTCCACCCACCAACCCCATCACCTCTTCTCCTTCTCTCTCTAAATATATAGACGTGTCTGTGTCTACAATGTATATAATATATGGGACTCTCTCTCTCTATCTCTATCTCTATCTCTCTCCTCCTCCTCCTCCTCCTCCTCCTCTGTGCCGTTCCTGTGTGTTGTTATGAGGAGGAAGAGAAAGCGAGGACCTTTATTACGTGGGCAACTGTTGTTTTGAGCTCTTAAGCTGAGACAACTCAATTTTCCAGAGAAGAACAGAGGATTTTCTATGTGTTTTCTCACAGATCTGAAACAGAGGAGGATGTTTTTTTGGTAAGAACTAGAATAGAATCCACCACATATGGTTAGTGAAAGAAAGAAATAGGTTTTGTACGGACCGACCCGCGTTTCTTACACACATCACGGACATTTTCTCAGTTTTTTTTTTTTTTTTTTGTGTCTCTCTTCCCTTTATTTTCAAGCAAAATAAGGATTCTGCACATTTAAGAAAGGGTTGCTTTTTTTTTTTTCTTCTTTAAAATAAATAAATTTGCATTTAAATTTTTTAAAAAATAATAATTTGACATTTATATAACTATTTTTCGTTCGGGAATTTATAGAGTCTATTTAATTTATTTAGATTTATAAAACTATTGTTTGATGATATGTCGGCGAGACTTATGGAGGTGGGACAATTAAAAGTCTAAAAATTATGACAGCACATCGTCAAAGCTTTGTTAAAAAAAAGTCATAAATTCATATTGCATGGACCAGTCAAATTTTATAAAATAAAAAATAAAAAATTATCTTATTGAAGAGGAAGACAAACCCCTTTAAATCAAGGATCACAATGTCATGTATGGCTCAATCTAATTTGGAAGGCAATTTCTTCAGATTCTATCCTTTTTAGAAATCTAACATGAGTACAAAATTCTTAAATTTCTGTTATGTACAAAGGTATGCACGTCCATTAATTCTTAAAATTCAAAATGACATTGTTTAAAGTGCTGTTATTTCTATGATTGTCCTATTTTTCTATTCACCTTACCTTCCCACCCACCGTGTAAATTTGAAAACACACAATGCTATCTTTCACCCTCCATAGTTCCATATCTTTATATGCATTTGATGGTAAATTAAATGAAAATGAAGTAAAAAATAATACCCAATGTCATCATAGAGATTGACTCAACTTCATATAATTAAAAGATCACTTTTTTATTTATTTAAATGATCCAATCATGTGGACTAATATGGAAGAATCAATTTCACTTCCTTGTTGTAACCCATCAGAAACCAAAAATTGGTAGCCCAATTTCAAAAAGCGATCAAGTTCTCGAGAAGGTTCCTAAAGGGTGGAGTTGCACTGCGTTAGAGGTAGGGAGAGAGATGAGCGGTGATGGGAGGAAGGGGGAAGGATTACGGAGATGGTGATTGGGGGCTGGGGTAAGTCGGGATGGGAGGTGAGGGAGGGAGATAGTATATAATATTTTTTATCTCTATTTTTTGGTTTAAAATTATTTAAATGATTTAAAAGTAAATATTTAAATATGGTTATGTAGCATTGAACAAATGTCAAGTTTTGAGAATGGTCCTTAGAAGTCATTTTACAAAGGGATAAATTTGTCTTTAAAATTTTGAAAATAAGGTGTATGAGAAAATAGGATAATGGGGTGGAAATAGCAGCACTCTTATTTTATATACAATTAAATTTTAATTTTAAAAAATAACCGAGAATACTATTTGAGAAAGAGACTTATAGTTCAAATGATTAAAAACATTTAGTGTCTGTTTGACGTTGCTTATTTGGGTTGATAAGTAATTTTTTAAAATTTTTGAAAAATTCAACCCGTTTGGTAAACTATGAGAAAATCACTTATTGTTAAAAATTGCTATGAGAGAAAGTTATAAGGGAGAACATCTAATGATGTGCTTTTATTTTCTGATTATGTATCGAAGAGGCGCCGAGTTTAATAATTACACAAGAATCATTTTTTGATTATGCGGGTATTAGTACCAACAACACTTTTAAGAAAAAGTTTACTAAATGTCAAATTGTTTTATTTCACAGCAAATCTGACGATTATTTTCACAGCACAATAATACAAAATTGTCCCTCAATCTTCTTAAGTCTTGTGTTTGATTTCCCTGTCTTTCAATATCGCTTATATTAGAAGACAAAAATACATAATTTTTTGTTTGAGAGGAGAACAAAACCCATAATTATGGTCCACATCCACATCCACATCATATTATGGTAGGATTGCCAGCTGGTGGGACATGGGTTGGACGTCGCTTTGTAGTTGAGCAAACATTGGGCCTAAAGTCCAAAGTCCAGCGCAATGGGCCTTGACCCAGCCCAACTTTTGCTATAGCCTCTCACGTGATGCGTCACATGCCAGTTCGTGTACCTATAAAAACCAACCCCATTATCCGCCCTCCAATTAATTGTCCCTTTTACACACAGAGACAGACACTGCGCTGCGGGAGCCTCTTTCTATTTGTTTTCGTTGAGGAGCTCAAGACCGATCCTAAACATGACTGCGGAGGTTCTCTCGCAGCCAAACGGCGTCGTCGCGAACGGCGACCTGAACCCAGTCTCTAACGACGCGACCGCCGCCAAGAATTCGAAGGAGAGCGAACGACGTCGGCGCAGGAGAAAGCAGAAGAAGAACAACAAAGCCTCTCAGGCGCCGGACGCCAGCGCCGGCGACGAGAGCGACGATGGTGATGCCAAGGAGAGCAAAGTCCCTCAACAGGTTCATTGCTTCTCTTTCTGTCTGGTTATTTTGTAAAATGTTTAGTTAATTGTTATTGGTTGCTGATTTCTAGGGTTTTGATGGTCTAATTTCGATGTCATTATGTTTCGTAGTTAGTAGATCAGCGGGATTAGGGTTTTGGGTTCAATTTCTATTGCTTAATTAGCGTAGGGTTTGGACACTGCGCTTTGTGCGCTTACTTAGAAACTACTACGGAAGTCACGAAAACAAAAAGCAATGTTAAGGGTTTAATATGCCCATCCATTAATTGCAGAAATTGGTCGTACCATATTCCTGCTCTGTCTCTCTCTTTCTAGTTTTCTTTATTTTGGATGTACTGTACACCTCTTGATAAAATTTCACAAAAAGAATTCTTACCTGGATTGGAATTTATCTTGATATTTAGTCCTTTGGCTGTAACTTCTTACCTTGTAATGAGTATATCGTGTGCAGCTTAGGAGTAGCCTTTTTCTATTGCATCTTCACCCTGTGTCTTATCTATATCCTAAATGGTGAAGAAAGTGGAATTCCAAACTTTTATTTTGTTTCTTTATTTCTTGTTGTAGGTAGTAGTGTTAATCAATTTGCTCATGTACACGGCGGTGGTAATTTTTGCAAAATCATTTTGAAAATTGTTGAACTGCTTTTCTTCTAGTGTATTTTTTTAATCTTGAAAAACTTTATATGTTTTTCTTTAGAGATTCATTCTTCTAATGGTGTTGAAATAATCTGCTGATTCTGTTGTATCATCTTATCATGTGTATTAATGTAAGTTCTGAACTGTGTAGATTGTTGAGAAAGTTGAAATTGAATATGTTCCAGAGAAAGCGGCGTTAAATGATGGCATGGATGAGGAATTCAGAAAAATTTTCGAAAAATTCACTTTCCAGGACTCTGCAGGTGCCGAGGTAAAAAGAGAATTTAAAATAAATAAATAAAAGATTAGTGTGCTTAATTTATTTTGGAAGGATATCGCACAATGCTTTAATCGTTTTATCCATCCAGGAGGATAAGAAGGATGAGTCTCAAGATGGAGCCCCACAAAAGAAGGCCGACTCAGATGCGGATGAGGACGAGCAGGATAATCAACAAAAAGAGAGAGGAGGCATTTCAAACAAAAAGAAAAAGGTTTGTTGATATTGTTATTGTTAATGTTATTTATTAGCAGCATTATTTTTGTTGAGGCTAAGACAATTTTTTTGTTATCTTTCAGCTTCAACGGCGAATGAAGATTGCAGAATTGAAACAGATCTGTGCTAGGCCCGATGTTGTTGAGGTGTTGATGCTGTGTTTTATTTGTTTAAGTTACTGTTATCTGTTGTTCTTGTTGTTGTCCATTTATTAAGGTTTGAAATTAAGATTGTTTGGCTACATATTCTCAGGTGTGGGATGCAACTGCAGCTGATCCTAAGCTGCTGGTGTTTTTGAAATCATATCGTAATACTGTACCTGTGCCAAGGCATTGGTGTCAGAAAAGGAAATTTCTGCAGGTTAGTGATCCCCCTAATGTTAAAACTATTGATTAAAATGTGTATGCATGATTAATGGGTATGATTAACATGATGGGATTAGGGAATAGAGTGCGGGAAGATCACGTCGATGAGGTTTCTCTTATATGTATACATGTGGTTCTTGCAGGGGAGCGGCTGTGACAACCATGGAGCCTGGACTTGTAGGTGTTTGGAAAATGGCACCTTGAATGATTTATCTTTATATGTATCTGCTAGTGGGGGTGGGGATCTAGGCATAATTTAATAGTATTATTGTGGATATTTGTAGTACCTTTGCATGATGGATTTTGGGATTTCATTCACTTTAAAGGCACTGATATATCTGCTTTGAATTTTCAGATGCCTTCCCATAATGCTTAGTCATCAGGCCCAATACGTCTCTAATTTTAAAATTTAACACTGATGGTTTGGATGTGGAAAACGTTAGTGGTGATTCTAAATGATTACTTGTATCTCATCTGGATTGATTTTGCAGGGTAAACGTGGTATCGAGAAACAACCATTTCAGCTCCCTGATTTCATTGCTGCAACAGGAATTGAGAAAATTAGACAGGTAAATTGGTCATGAGATAATTATGTTTAGAGTATTCTTCTCTGTGGCATCAACTTGCATCTAAATTCTAATAGTGAACATGAATAGGCTGTAAATTGTCTCAATAAGGTTTAAGTTTGACTTGTGTTGTTCAGCTCATTTGAGCTTGGACCGTAAAAGAAATGAGCGGAGTTCAAAGAAAATATTAGGTTAATTAAACAAGCCAAGCTTAACC